TCTAACCATATATCCCTTAAATATTTAGATGATGTGTTGTATTTCATATGTTTAGCTAAAAATAAAAAGGAGAAATTTCTATGTTCAAATTGGTCTATTTTTTATAAAAATAAGTATGTCAGTTGATTTATTCCTAAATTGTAAACCAATTTCTATCAAACTAGCTGTTCCCCCGCGACTTCGCCTGCGTAATATATGAAAGATTTTATAAATCGCGGTCATATACTTTCAGAGTCTACCCACTGCTAACAAACAAGAAATCAAATCATTTCTCTTTATATAATATGAGTACAGAAATAAACAAAATCTTTCTAAGACTCACTATGTTATATATTTTTATTTATTATTATCTATTTTATAAAAAATATCAATATTATTAAAAAGCATGAAATAAAATTTTAAAAAATAGAACCGACTTCTAACTTTAAAAAAGTGATAAATAATACTTATCTCATAAGTGACTTATTCAAGAAAATTGCCATTTAAATCGAATAAGTCGCTTTTGAGATAAGTATTATTTATCACTTTTTTAAAGTTTGAAGTCGGTTCTATTTTAAAAAAGTTTTGTTAAAGTAATAGATAATAATCTTAACTCTAATTTTTCCCTGATATCACTTCTTCGTAAGAGACATGTTTGAAAAGAACTAAATTACTTTACTGTCGTCTGTTCTCTGTCTTGGAAATGAAAGATAAAGATGGAATGTGTCAGCTACTTCCATTCCTCGTAAACTATAACATATTTATTTGCGAAAACTATTACATATTTTTTACTATATCATTTGGGACCAATCGTACGTATATTTAAATTTTGTCCTAAACTACCTAGCATTAAAATGAATAATGAATGAATGAATGAATAAATTCTATTGTACACCATAAATTATAGAGAAAAAAAAATAAAAAAAGAAAAATTCTATTTCTTCTAAAATTGCATTGTATAAATTTGTCATTTTGTTAATCACTATCTTCATCATCATCATCACCGGCCTACTACTTTTCATTATGGATGATATCGTATCGGATAGGTAAAGAAGGCCATGGTCCATCAAGCGGGTCTAGTACGCATTGGTGGGTGTTAATTACTACAGATACAGGCGCGACCAACATATATGTCTACCGAAGGGCGGGGTGAGCTCCGTGTTAATAATAAATATTTTGGTCACCCATCCTATGACCGATCCTTGCGATAGATGCCTTACTTCCACATCGGAGATCGACCGCAACATAGAGCAGTACAACTGTTTTTATACTCTAAAAATTAAATTGTCTATACTATAAATCCAGGTTTGTGATTGAAAACATTGACAATAGTTGGAGTATAGCGCCACGGAAGTGGCTGATTAGACGACGAGAAAGAACGACGAGCCAACTAAAGGGTAAGCAACGCCTTAACATTATACTCGTATCTACAACATGGCAACCTATGTCTTACACGTTTATAAGAACTAAGTATCATTATTTTACTTGTATCAGAGAATTAATGAACAGTACAGTTGTATAGAAACCTATGTTACGGTAGCAAAGCCGTTTAGCCAGATGTATTGTCTAAAGTGTAGTGTTTATAAAGTTGAGGCTTGTATAGTTAGCGCATGTTATGCTTGGCTCTACATTAGATCTGAAATCTTTTTGATGGTGCGAACCATATGGTATTTTTTACATGAAACGTGGTCTGTCTCATTTACTGTCCAAGTGTCCAGCTCCCGTAGCATGATGAACTCTAGAAGAGAAAATGTCACTTTTTTGGGTACACCCATACAATATCTCACTTTCGACGTGAGAAAGATGATATTTCGTGTAGAATAAATAAAGACATCTCGTTCCGTCACCTTTTAGCCCATTATTGTTTCCAAACTCATCTAGCCAATTCGTACTATTGACCTTCTTGAAGTAAGCTTATTTCAATATTGTTTGTGTTGGAAAATTTCTGACTTCATCACAAATTATTCATTCCAATCATTACTTGCTTTTGTTACACTAAGGCATGGACTATAATATATGTCCATGACTGAAGTAAAAATACGTATTGTAACTAAACAAAACTAAGCTGTAAAATTGTTGAGCAGGATACAAATAATTTCGCAAAATCATTTGCTCATAGACAGGATTAAAACAATATTATTTTAAGCTTATCTAAAATAAAACGAAACGTTCTAAAACCATGATGATGTTTTTTAGAATTCAGTACCCAAAGGGTAAAAAACGGGTCCCTATTAAAAAGTCTCCGCTGTCTGTCCGCGGTCGCCAGGCTGTCTCATGAAATGAACCGTTATAGTTAGACAGCTGAAATTTTCACAGCTAATGTATTCCTTGGCCGCTATAACAACAAATGCTAAAAATAGAATAAAATAAATATTTATTTTACATACACACACCACATAACATACACACATACGCGACATAATACAAATAGACAAAAAACAGTTATACGTACATATGAACGGCACTATACATATACAACCAAAAATGTTTCGATAAGGTTTACTGTTTGTTTTGTATACCAGTTTTGGTAATTGGCAATGCCTATAGTCATTGCTTGTATATTTATATTGTTTTTTGTCCAGAATTAAAGATTTTTAATTAAAATTTTTCAGAATAATTATGAAAGTAATTTCGGTATCAAATTTTTGGTGTAAGTACTATTGTATGGTTATACTTATCTTCACTTTTTATTTTGTAACAAGCAAACTTATTCTAAACACTAGATACCAAATGATTTCATTCGGAATCGATGTTCAGAATGCATCGCGGAAATCACTGACGTCTATTTTTTGTTTGAATGAATCGCATCTTATTTAAATTAATTAGTAACAATATTTATTTAGTATCAAGCACTAGAGATAATTAAACAATGAATGATGCAGAAGTAGCCATTAACTCTAGTGTATTTAGTTGGGTTGGTTTGATGAAAAATCTATGCGGCAAAAGTAAGTAGTTTAAGTAAATTTTCGGTTCATTGTCATTTATAAGATAAAAAAGAAGGCCACTAATTTTAAATATAGAATTAACAAAAAACGCTATTTTTAATTGACTATACTATATTCTTTGTTGATACTGTTTGTTCCTATAATTGAAAAAAATAATAAAGAGTATACTACTTATTTTTTGCATTTACTATGTTTAGGGAAGCTACATCAAACGCGGGTAACATAAGATATAAGTACCTATCTTATTTACGCGGGCGAAGTCGCGGAATACCAATTTTTTTTATATCTCTTTATTGTATTGAACTGTAGACTAGGTTTAATAGCTGTCAGAAGTCGAAACTACTCCCGTCAGCCATCACTATCTTTACACTTTTTTTCAAGGACCCATGGTTGTATGAAGTTTGAAACACACGGAGTGGGAGACTATTCCACATTTTAATTTGTACAGTAAATGTAAGATTTGCCTGTCTGGGGATGGCAACGAACATCGGCACGCGTTAACTTATTACGGAAAGAGGGTGGTGATATCAAATCATTCTTCAGCAGAGCGATTCTGAAAAAATCACTCAGGTGTTCTAATTCACTTCGAAAGCGACATCCGATTAACCTTGAATTGTTTAGTGGCATAAGAGAAGTGAGCTTCGGAATGACATAGGGATAAAATATCTGATACATGTATGAATCAATCAATCTTGTTTTGTATTTTTATACAAAAAATGTCATTAATAGAATTTATGATTTAAGGAATTCGTTTACGGCACCAATTCGGACACCTGAGTGAATTCGAATTCGGGTTCGGTGTTTTTACGGAATCGCACTGCTGAGCGAGAATTATGCGGCGGTTATATTTAGCCAGAACCACCTAGCGCATTCTGCTATAAAAAAAGGTTCGAACTCAAAATCGAATGCAGCGCTATCATAGCATAGAGTTTTAATTGAATAAAACCTAAATATACCTAATCTATCGGCATCTTTTAATATTCTCGATATGATAATTTCGAAATTTGACATTATTGTTGACTGTTCCTTCGTTGTTTCACACTCATACTTAATGTAGGATTAGAAACAATGTATGTAATGTTGTCTAAAATAATTTTTGAATGGTCTACATTTTTTTACTTACTTACAATTCATTCATGACGCCGTTTGGCAGATAAAAAGAAACTTATCAGTTTTTAAATCAGTAAACATTAGTATTAAAGGAATTTAAATATAGTTAAATGACTTTAATACTAACGTTTATTGCATCATTATGACAAAAATATGTTTTATTTTACAAAGATCTAGCTTTCCGCTAGCGGTTTCACCCGCGTGGTCTTGTATTATACATGTGAACCTTCCTCTTGAATCACTCTGTATATTAATGAAAACCGCAATTGTTTTATAGATAATAAGTTTGTTAAAATTTGTTGATAATTACGATTACCTATATTATGTCATCATCTACTCACAATGATTAATGAAATCATTAATTATTATCTATTTAAATTATACTCATTTTGGTTATCTCCAAATATGTGTCTTAAAATTACTTCACTTTATCTGAATTCATTTCTTAATTATTAAAAGTAATTAAAATTCCAAAGCACAAATTTATTTGGTCACCCTTATCACGATCGGCCTTTGCAAAAAAACGATCAGTTTTTACGATCGTTAACCGAACGCGCTAGCGCACATCGACCTCCAGTGCTTATGTGATACTGATGTTTCCTCTTTATCTTATAGATTTTGTACTCTATCTAGCACTAAGAGTCAATAAACGTTATGCTAACAAAAGAACTACAATTAAATTAATTCAGTCATTATTTCATAAATGACCACATAAAAGAATAGTGAATAATTATACAAAAAACGTTACCTTAAAATTTGTGCGCTTATCATTTGTTATAATAAAAGTTCGATATATACATGAATTTTTGTAAGACTTAATGAGAACATTTAAGCTCACAACTTATAAAACTAAATTATAATTTCTTATATAGGGATAAGTAAACATTATGAAATGTATAGGATACTAAAAACTCCAATGCAGAGATGGTCACCCACAGGCCACATGCAGTGTCTGTCAACGCCGGGACAGAGCCAACAGAGCTATAAAAAGCCACCGGCATTATCTAAAGAACCAATATATAGCCGGCAGCCGCGCCGTTCGCACAATTTTATAGTTCAAATTTGGAATTTATATATATTTTTTATTAGTATCTTGTGTGAGTGATTGCAACTTCTTTCTGATCGTCTTTTATAACAGGACCTTAATTTCAAGTGAGTAGAAATTTTCATGATGAATCATAGATAATAGAAATTTCTTTCTTTATTTAAATTAGCGCATCTCTAGAATTTATTCGAATAATCATTAATAAAATCCGTCTGATTAAAATGTAGTCTGTGGTGTTTTAAAAAGTGAACTATGTAACCAATTCAATACATATAATTGTATAAAAATATGCGAATTATTTAAAAAATGCCATCAAAATATTGACAAAATTCATAATATTTAATAACAAAAAAAATTCAATAGCTAAAATCTTTCAAATTACTTACTAGTCTTAGTGGTTGGATAGATATATACTGCAACAAGATATGAAATAAAATATATTAAAGTAACTTAATACCCTTATAGTAGCTAAGAGTTAATGAATCATTCTACATTTCTCACAAAGCATTTTGTATTGTCTGTCGGTCAAATGCGCCGGACACGGGCAATTTGCACTTACATATCGTCCCACCCATACAATGCCGAAGAGCTCGCATGTTTACAAATAAAACTATAAATATCGACTTCATACACTAATGCACAATGTATTCTCATGTGGGACTGTTAAGTTATCAATAGAAAAAAATTATTTCGTTACCGAACATAGAACTCCTACTTTTCGATTTTAAAGTCACTTAAAATACAGCAAAAAATTAAGTCCGTATAAATATATGAAATACAATTGATGCAAAAAACTTGAAATGTGCCATCATTTTTTCAAAATTACATAGTGATACGTTACTCGCTGAATAATCTAACGTCAAATTAATGACAGAATTTTTGAAATCGGTCTAGTGGTTTTGACCAACAAAAACCTTTCATCTTTATAATATACTCGTGATATTAGCTTCCCAAAATAAACAAATAATGATTAACACGCCTACTTTTAAGAGAATCATCTATATTAATAAAGTTAACATAAAAATAAACGCGTGTGTTTTTAAAAAAATATTTCATTATTCTTACGTTTCGCCACCTTTACAGGTTTCATGTTCACTTAGACTGAGGAAAATAGAGTTATTTCGGACTTAATTTTATCTAATTCAGAAAAAGAATAACTCTAGACCGATTCCATTATTCGAATAGCGAGATATCTTAAATTTGAACGAAATTTCAATGAAAAGACAACAGTTCAAATTTTTCAGGTTGTCTTTCGGTATACAAATAAATAACTATAGCTCAAGCCACTACACTCTAATATATTTTTATATGATTCTCGTAAAGGAATAGTTTAGTATGCGTATTAAATATTTTATATCCTATAAAAGCGTAGAAAAATGAAATCAATTGATATAACACACGATGGTAATAATTATGACATTGCTTCTTTTTCTTCCTATATCTATATCTAGGAGTAACTCAATCATAGAAAGAAAATATAACTCAACAGCTTTTAATAAACTCGTCATACGGCAGTGACATTGACATTACTTAAACAAAGTAGGTATGTGTAAAGATATGCTATGGAAAACACGGGAATTGCTATAGGTAGACAAGAATAGAATAATGATTCTTGTCTACCTGTATAGAATAGAGACACTTTGAAATTTAAATATGGAAAAGAGAAATTTATTTATTTGAAATATGTAAAACATAGACAATTTTTTTTTCTTTTTTTTAATATACAAATTTGGATTATTGTTCGAAGTGTACAGAAGGAGAAATTGAGCTTTTAAGTTACTTTACAACTAAGGAACTTTAAGAGTTATAGAGGTCTAAAAACTTAAAATAACCAAATGCGTCATTTAGTTGTTTCCTTGAAGTTCACAAATTACTTGGCGTGCCCAGTATCCAACTCCGTAACTAATCGTTGGAAAATCGATTCTCGATCGATATGCTATACAAAATGATCGAACGTGCAAACCTAAGATGACGCCAGAACATTACATTAATTTCATTGTAATAAAAATTTCCATAAACTATTATCGCTTCAATTTGTATATGAATTTATTCTGAGGAATTTATTCAATTGAAAATTTTCCAGAATGTTTAGGAACCGATGGTTATTTTGACCACTACAAATTCCCGTTTTCGGATTGTCGGTGTTTCTACAATGGTATGTGGTCCCATCTGCCTGGTAACACTATGTACCTTGTAGTCCCACCCTGTAGACATCTCTTACCATATTGATGTAAAATAATAGCTATGAACAAATTATATTATTTTTATCATTAAACTTTGATCTTTCTCTCTTAAGTTACAGAAATTAGTAAAAAAACAGCCCATTTACAAAGTTATTGATATAATTTCCAAGGGTAACAAAGGTGTCTTTCATTTGACATATCAAAAGTGTAAATACATTGTTGTTAGAATAATAATAATCACTAAGAAGTCTGTATGCGTCAGAGATGTATAGGTACACAATTACACAAATTGTTAAAACAGAAGCTATCTATCTAAAAGAATTCCATTCAGGACACTAATTACAACGGAAACCAATATACTTTAACACAATGTTCAGCTCATAAACCAGTGGAATTTTCGCATGATAAACTATTTTCATAGCTTCAAAACAAATTTATAATGAAATAAATAAACAAAATTGAATCAATTGAAGTTTTATGGCCATAGACAAAAATATGCTTTTTAAATTAACACTCCTAATTCATTTAAAAATAGAACGCGCTAAATTAATAAACTAGCTAAAGACGAATTATCTTCCATTATTATATGAATAAATGTAGGTACTATAAATACTGTGTTGTGAGAAGCTTTTTTGTATTCATAGTTAAAAATTTAAACAATAGATATAATTTTGATTGTTCTTATATTTTTCAGAGATCAGAGAGAGATCAGAGTCAGAGATTATTATATTTTTAACTGCATTAAATAAATTCATAGTTTCATAGTGTTATTTTAAGCTGATTAGGAAGATAAGGCTTGTATATATTTTTATTTTAATAGTAATGCATACATTTAAAGTAATGCAATTACTTAAATGAATGAAAATAAGCTACACAAATCAACAAAGAAAACAGAATAAATAATAACATCAGAAATACACTTTTAAAACTCAACCCCACACTCTTCTCAATATGAACGTGTGGTCAAATCGGATATTATGTGTTATAGTGATTATAAGAACTGATTCCCTAATAACGTAATGTAAAAATATGCTTCATTCTAATAAACTCATTTAAAGCGCTGTGGTATCGTCTAATCGTTCAATTAGCACCTATTTAAAAAGTCATTTGGTTGATAAGAAGAATAGCCTAAAGAAACTTATCATCTCTTATCAGATATCTTCATTACCAAAACGCCAATATTACACAAGAAAGGGATTAAAAGAAATTTTAAGACCGTCTGTTGGTCAACAAAGGCTATTAAAAATAATTGCTTTTCAAAAGCATAGAATACTCGATGCCAGGACACAGGAAAGAAAGGGTTATATTTTATTCTCCTTTTGCCTTTGCCCACTCTTCAACCTTTTTCGCAATAAAAAGTAAGCTCTGTTTTATACAAAGTTTTATCTGTTACTGTACTTTATCTGTTTTATCAAAATCGGTAGTTTCGTTTACTTTCGCGTTTATAATATTAGAACGTCTCCTTATTCTGATCAATTTTATTTTGTTTTCTTTATCACATATCAGTGCACTATGATATTTTACTTTTGTTGCTCCAATCCTTATTTAAATGAAAAAGTAAATAATTATGAAAAAATAAACTTTTTTCAATTTGGTTACATTTTGTAGGTGTTTATAAAGAATCTTATATTGTTTTCATTTGTAAACGAAACAAAAAACTTACAGAAACAATATTAAACATCAGACAAAAGTAGCTTTTTTTTTTCAAGGATTCTCCCCACCCTCACATCCATGGTTCGGAGCCGTGCCTTAAAATGTCTGTTATACAGACAAAAATGCTATAGAGGACTAAATAAAAATAGTACATTCACATAGTGAAAACTCTTTGGAAAGACCTCATTAATTGTGTAGCGCCATTGTGATATTTTTCCTTTGATATATCGCCATTACAGCTCATTTGGGCTCAGCGTTTTCATTTTTATTGCGCCTTCTTTGTTATATTCAATTACTTTTAATTGTAAATTGAATTAACTAGGTATTTATTATTATTACATAGTTATAATATAAGTGCTGTATATTTACACGGAATTTGAAAAAGTCATAGATTCACATTTCTTTTTGACGAAAAATGAAGATGATCGAATGTCGACTTTATTTTCCATTTTTACCAACTTGACCAATAAAATTATTTAAATTTGAATAAAGAACGAACTATTAATTTTAGAGAAGATTAATTTCCTTTTTCACTTTTCTGTCCATTTTAGTCGGTTTAGTTTTTGTTATAACAAAGTATTTTATTACATTGATTATTTACAGATCAAAGTCTATTGGTTAACAGTAGAAAAATAAGTCTCTCACTAATCTTTGAGTTTCTGTGTTAATTTCAAATGTTTTTTTTTTAGCTACGAAATTTTTAATCTTACTTACACTCGTATCGAGTTTGAGTATGTAATAAGATAGGCAAATATTTTCACCAATACACTAGAATTTGGATGAAGTAGAACTCTGCCATTAGCTTATAATAATAGTATTCTAACTTTTGTTTGTTCTTAGCTCATTAAAATTCTTATTAATTCGTTCAAAATATTTGTTTATGTTAACTTTTACTCGAGTAATTAGGTAGAGTCTTTGATCAATTACTCTAAAGATCATGGTTTACAGTGACAACAAAATTAGTTCAACGTTTTACGCAATTATCTAATCACTCGATATATTTATTTTCCAATACTCAATGTTTACATTGCTATCATTGAACGCTATTGACACTAGACCAACACTAAGTAGGTATACATTTTTAATTATAGACTTTACCCAAATTGTCTTTGATCCTAGTAGAACTAAGTACCTTTATTATGTTAATACGCGAAGTAAAAAGCAATTAAATTTAAGACAGTTAAAGTTTATATAGAAAGAAGAACAGAATGTTACACACACCCTCTCAAAAGATATTACGCACACTCTCATACTCTTACGACGTTTGCAAC